GTGGGGGGGCGGGGAGTATGGCTACTTGGGCAACATACATCTGAAATGGAGTGTGCAAAATGTGGTAAAAATCTCCATCCAACTTGCTTTTTCAGCATCCCTTCACACCGAACAACTTAACCCCGGTTTTTGAAGGCCTACCACTTTATTTAATTTTTACTTGAGGGGAATAAAGAAGAGATAGGCTTAATAGTGTAACAGTTGGAATCAGATTGGACTAGCTTTTGATGATCGAAATCCTAAACTAGATCTGAATTATTGATCTGGGAATGGTAAAACGTCAAAGACCTGGAATCATCTAAAGAATACCAGCTCGTTATTAAATGCCTCGTGGTCCAACTGGATATTAGGTACTTTGTATGTCTGATTAACTACTTATAAATCTATCAAACACCAACCAAGACAATAATATCTGAGCAATGAATGATGCAAACAGAAGACAACCCTGAAAAACACTCTATTGCTGTCCTATTCCATCTATCACAGTGTTATTTCATTAGCAAATTAAAATAAAATGAATGGAAAGTCATCATCCTACAGATAAGATGCAGTGGGATGGGCAGAAATTTATGAACCTTTGTTTAGCAAGAGAGAAGTCAACCCAAATACATTTTAACCAAGACATTTGATAATTTTACAACCACAAGGACTGGGAAAAGATATTGTTAAAAACATGATACCTTGTCATTTAAATACATCTATTTAACTTTTCTATTTTTAGTCTTGCTTCTCCTGAAACTTCTACTTTCCATCTCATATACGTCAAAACCCTCAATGATGTTTTATTTTATTTATTTAACAGTAGCCTACAACTTTCAGGCCAACTTCTTGACTGCTATTTTGAAGTCTAATTTTCTAAAACTGCCAAAATAGAAAGCACCCCTTTAGCCATCCTTAGCAAGAATTTCTGGGAACTGATTTTGCAGAGCATTTTCTCATAGCTAGGTTTCTGATTCTTTCCCATAACTTCTCCTATCTAAAAATAGCACCCAGAACACTGAATTTTGTTTTTAGCAATAATTTTTATAGAGTGTAAGTATACAGATACGTATATACACACATGCATACTTTCATATCCATGCATACATATGGAATTTTCCACCCAATATATGAAAAGGAGACAGGCTTAAATACCTAGTATAGCTTTGAAGAAAAACCAGATTTGTTTATCACCCAGTTAGAATTAGAACTATGTTTAGCCCATTCATTTAATACTGCAAATAGCAATGAGCAGTAAAGCAATCCACTTTAGATGTCATGCAACTCTTAGGTTAGAAAGAAATAGTGCCATGGAGGACTAATTTAAGAAAAGGACAATATATAATGACTATTACTTGACTTAAGATAAGTTGTTGTTTTTTTTATTTCCCACCCCCCACCCCCACCCCCCGACTTAAGATAAGTTTTATATTAGCTCTGGCACACACATCTGTGTTGCCCCTCGGGATATAATCAAGCACTTTTTTAGCCACCTAAGGAATAGAGCAGACCATCTGAAATTTAACAAAACGTACTTTAACTGTCCCCCTTGAAGTGGTCGCTAAAAGGAAAAGTCCTGTTGTTACGCATCGTACAACAAGCAACCATCAACCATCATATCATAACATCTAAAGAGAAAACATTGTGTGGCTCCTTTGGCTCCATCTCCCAAAGCTTTCCTGGATGAAGAAATAAAACACACGAGGCAGAGATTTGCCTTCAGGGTTTTGTAAAGAGATTACTGCTGCTGCCTTCAGCCAGAGACAATGAAATTGATAAACACAGCTAAGTGGCCCCCTCCCTCCCCACAGCAGAGAATATCTGTCTGCCTCCACCAGGATGGAGGCGGAGGTGAGCAAATTTTCACCTCTAAGCCGTGGGGACCGGGAGAGCCCCTAAACCAACTTGCCTTCTCATCACACCGCCTGGGGGAAACTGGCCACCGCTTCCTCCTCCTCGGAGGCTGCCACGGAGCTCTGGGTGAAGTGGCCTGTGCTCCAGGCGGTTAGCTGGGTTTTCACACCTGTTGCCTTACCTCACTTGGTTGAGTGTCTGCACTTGTGTAATCCAGGGCCAGCCACTGCCTTGGCCAGTCGTTGCCTTTGTGGAATAAAGACTCAATAAGAGACCAGGCTGCACCTGCTACATAGCAGCCAGTGACAATCTGAGGAGCGGAGACAGCTGGCAGGGCAGCACGCAGCTACCTGCTCTCCCCCAGATCCCAGCGTCCCATGGGACCTCCCTGTTCCGCTTCCTTCCACCAGCCCTCTCTCCTTTCCTTCCCTTTCCAACAGCCAGGATGTTGTCATGCTTCTAGAAAAAGCAAGAGCAAAAGAAAACCCTCCTCCTGTCACAGGCATTTTGTGGGGAGTCCAAATGTTTTAATTCATTAGTCCTGGCAAACTTAAAATACAAACAGACTTGCTTCACAAGACAGGAATGTCTTCGGCGTGACCCAATCGGTGTCTGTGTCCATTCCAGCAAACTGGCAAAGATAGCATGACTCCAGTCAGCAAAAATGCTGGCCTCTCCAATCTGCTCAGTGAGACCCAGCCAACTTGGACAGGCCGCAAGCAGACTCACAGATGCTAGCGGCGATGATCCCCGTTAAGAACGTGAGGTTTGAGGTTGAGCTGGTGACTGAGCTTGATGACCGGAATCCCATCTACAAATGGAACCAGCCGCAAAACAAGTCAATGGCATTGAAGAATGGAACATTTAAAATGTTTCCACCTTTGCAACTGCCAGAAACCTGAATGTCCATAGTACTTAAAAATAGTTGGAGGAAGATGTTGAGATTAAATAACTAAAAATAAATAAATGAGAGGACTTAGTAGGTATCCATGAATGAATGAATGAAAGGTTAATTTGCTATGATATACTCAGGAATAAAGTTGTCTATGTATGTAAACCTGTCTATGACTGCAAATGCAATTCTTTTCAGGAACTATTATTATTTTCATGTTATCTTATGTATTTCTTTATATAATAATATCACTGCTTTTAAAATTTATGATTGAGTGGATTCCATAACTATATAGAACTGTGTGTCATAGGACTTTCTTTTTGTTGTTGTTGAGGTTTTTATGTGCTTTATTTTGTTGGGTTTTTTTTAACATTTTATTAGGGGCTCATACAACTGTTATCACAATCCATACACACATCAATTGTGTAAAGCGCATTTATACATCATTCTCAAAACATTTTCTCTCCAGTTAAACCCCCGACATTAGGTCATCATTTTTCCCCTCCCTCCCCG